GTATACAGGGAGAGAGAGGGTATACAGGGAGAGAGAGAGGACATACAGGGAGGGAGAGAGGATATACAGGCTGGTTCCCCGGTGTGTCAAGCTTTAGAATGGTGTACAGGGATAAAGAGGACAGGTATGATGGTGGGATGGAGTGCCTGAAAGAGAAGTGCATTTCCTATAAATGCCAGTTTCTTCTCCCAAACCTTCTCCCAAACGAGGTAGAAGACTGGACCTCTGTCCTCTATGTAGTACAAAGCGATCAAGGTCACCTACCACCTTTTGATATTTTAACCCCCACTGAGAGACTCAGTAGCTGGAGATATTGTTCTCTGCTTTCCTATTAGCAGTATGCCTTCAGTTCTGAACTCATAGTTCAGGGTTTTCACAATGTTTTGCAAAGCAGCCAATCATACCTACCTATATGCTTTCTGTACTTTTAATGTGGCATTACATTTCTCTTGCCCGTATAAAACATTCTTCCTGGCTTTGCAATAAAACCTGGAAGCAGGGCATGTTATGTTCATACTCGGCTAGAGGCTTTAATACTTAAGGGACAACTGGCAATATGTCAGGATTGCACTGGGAACCTTTGATTATGCCCCAGCCATCTTCTCTGTCCCCAGGCTGACACCTGTCACGCTCACACCCCCGGCACCCGTCATGTGAACGCACCGGCACCGGCTAGATGTAAGGAGCACCGGGATTGGAGAAGAGCCGGGGGCTGAACCGCGGCGTGTGGCTCGTGTGTGGAGCCGCGAACAGGCAATTTAATTCATAGCCGACTAATCGCCGATGGAAAACGTTGACAACGTCTCTCTCTTCTCCTTCCCAATCACAGAGCCAATGGAACCAGGCTGATATGTGATAAAACCTGGCAAAGGTGTATATATAGAGATTATCCCTTAACCTAACCTTATGTTCTCACGCTAGACCCTCACTCTCTTCTGGGTGATCATTGTTAACTTTTTTTGTATTTTATCTATTAATGTCTATTTTCTGTGTCACATATGCTTCGTCTGTTATGAGAACAGTTCTTGTTGATATCGACAAGTAAGGAACTCAGGCAATACTACTGAGGTGCAAAAGTGACTCATTGTAATTCTCTGCTGTGGTATAGTAAGCATATCCAATTTTATCAACATGTTTTCTCATGCGAATAATCAAAATGCAAAGTGTGGACTGACTCATATAAAACCTCTGTGGTAAGATTACTGTGCAGTAATTAGGAGGGGACCAGTTTGGACATATAATTTTCTTCCTGGTATAGCTGTGACATACACCCCTACAACCTTATGCAGTTACATTATTTTCTGATATGTAGTTGCATCCAGTTTTGTGATTATAAGCACTACATTTAACCTGGGGAACATATAGCCCCAAAACATAGGAGGGCTGGGACTGCATTATGATATTTTTAGATATAGTAGACTGTATATGTATGTGCATGACTATAGCACAATAAGAAGATGAACAAGCATGCAAGTAGCTGGTTGAGCATGATTAAAAATGTTACAGATATAAGACCAGCAATAATAATGCCTTTATCTGTTTTGGAGCACTGAGATTGCATCTGACCACCTACAAAAGGACAGAAACACAAGACAATTTAAGTACACATTTAACAAAAAGTAACATAAAAAAAGGCAATTTTGCCCCCGCCCCCACATGCATGCACATACAAGCACAAAAAGTAAAATTGCTCCACACATTTTACATATTGCCGCGAACATCGGCGCGAGCAATAATTGTAGGGCCATCAGTCAGTGTTAACAATAAACTGATGAGCAGTAAAAGCTTGTAATGTGTCGCCTATGGTAAAGTTTGGGTATTGTAGTTTTTTGCACGCAAGTTTAAGGCTTGACATGTTTGGTATCAATTTACCCGACGTGACCCCCATCTTTTATATTTTACAAAAAAAATTGGTATTATATTCTGGCTCTGTGCACTAAATTTAATTTTAGTGTATTGCATCCTAAAAATACTTGTGTGATAAACATTTCACATATACCGTTCAACGTAAAAAATTGCAACTAGCATTTTTTTTATTCTACAGGGCTTCTGCTTTCAGAAAATATATAATTGTTTGGGGGTCTAAAGCTGTTTCTAGCCAAACAATTCTGATTTTATCATGTTTGTGAAAATAATAAGAAATTGTTCCGGACAGCAAGTGGTTAAGTAGATACTATTGCTGGAAGGGGCTCTCTTTTATCTATTATGTTAATGCACCTTAATTTCGGGGAAAGTTTTGACGACCTTTATTCCATTAGGCCCATTTATTCTCATAATTTCTAAGTGGGTTAATGTTTTGTGTTTCTCTGTCTTCTGATAGAGAAATTAGTGATTGCTGATTTTACCTGACATCTCCTTGTCTGTGGGGAAAAATGTGGGCTGTACAGTAGGAAATTGCCTGACTTCTATCCCGGATCCCAGTGCATGATTTGGATTTATTAAGGGATTCAAGAATATACCCATAAAATGATTAAAAACTTGTCTTTTAGATTAAACAAAGTAAAAAACATAACATTTCTTTTTTACACTGCCACCTGGGTCTTTCTGAAATACCAGCCAAATTGGTGTTAAGATCTCTTAACTTAATTCTTTTAAGAAGCATATTTAGGAAAATATTCTTCAAATACAGATTGCTTTGTTCCAGCCTGTGCTAATGGTAGTGTCATTGTAGATTTATTGGCCATTTGCATTGCTAACAGAGACGCTGC